TGAACTCCTGGGCTCAAGTGGTCCTCCCACCTCAGCCTCCCAAGTGCCAGAATTATTATAGGCATGAGCTACCATGCCTGGCTTGATGACTCTGTTTGTTATAAATTTTCTTACATTGTTTAAGGGCTCAACTTTGGGGAAAAGCCTTCCCATATTCATTACCTTCATAAGTTATGGATTTTCTGATGTTCAGCAAGGCCTTGGTTGTACCTGCAGGCTTTCCCACATTTTTCCTAGTGAAAGTTTTTTTTGTTTTTTTCCCCCAGTATGAATTCCTTCATGTCCAATAAGGGTTGAGCTCTTTGTAAAGGCTTTCCCACAGTCATTACCCTGATAGAGTGTATTTCCACTATGAGTTTTCTGATGCCCAGTAAATCTTTCTATACCTGAAAAAGATTTCACATTTAATATAGTGATAGTTTCTCTCCTATATGAAGTTTTGATTACTAATAAAAGTTGAGCTCTTTCTAAAGACTTTTCCATATTTATTACACCGATGTGCTTTTTCACCAAGATGGTTGTGATGCTCCAACACAGTTATCTCTGAAAGCTTTCCCATATTTCTTACATTTAAAAGGCTTTTCTCAGCCAGGCGCGGTGGCTCACATCTGTAATCCTAACACTTTGAGAGGCAAAGGTTGGGGAATTGCTGGAACCTAGAAGTTCAAGAGCAGCCTGGGCAATATAGAGAGACACTGTCTCTGACAAAAAGTAAAAAAATTAGCCAAACATGCTGGTTGCGCTTCTGTAGTCCCAGCTTCTTGGGAGGCTGAGGCAGGAGGATCTCCTGGGCTCGAAGGTCAAGGCTGCATTGAGCTGTGATGTGCCGCTGTACTCCAGCCTGGCAGAAGAGTGGGATCCTGTCTCTAAATAAATAAATAAGCCTGGGCAATAGAGTTGGACACTGTCTCAAAATAAATAAATAGATAAATAAATGAGCCAGGCTGGGCAATAGAGTGGGACTCTGTCTCTAAATAAATAAATAAGCCTGGGCAATAGAGTTGGACACTGTCTCAAAATAAATAAATAGATAAATAAATGAGCCAGGCTGGGCAATAGAGTGGGACTCTGTCTCTAAATAAATAAATAAAAATTTTAAAAAGGTTTCTCTCCACTGCGTTTTATCTCCTGATCTGTAAGGACTGCCTTTTGAACAGAGTTTCTCACAGTCATGTTTGTAGAGTTCTTCACTGTATGAATTATCTGATGATTTGAAAGGACAGTTTTGGCCGCGTGCAGTGGCGCATGACTGTAATCTCAGTACTTTGGGAAGCTGAGGCGGGCGGATCACCTGAGGTGAAGAGTTTCAGACCAGCTGGCCAGCATGGTGAAACCCCATCTCTACTAATAAGAACAAAAATTAGCTGGGCATGGCAGCACACACCTGCAATCCCAGCTACTAAGGAGGTTGAGGCAGGAGAATCACTTGAACCCAGGCAGTGGAGGTTGCAGTGAGCCGAGATTGCACTACTGCACTCCAACCTGGGTGACAGAGCTAGACTCCCTTAAAAAAAAAAAAAAAAAAGGACAGTTTTTTCTCTGAAAACTTTTCACATTTATTGCTTTTATGGTATTTCTCTCTGGAATAAATTCTCTGATGATTAATAAATGTTTAGTGCTTGAGGAATTTGCTGCATTCAATACATCTGTAAAGTTGCTCACCTATGTGAATTTACAATGATTTAAAAGGCATGATAATGGCATAGTGTGCTCATAAAGACTATTCCACATTCTTTATATTTATGGGGTTTCTCACTAATATGATTGCTCTGGTGGCTAAAAGAGGAAGAGTTGTATTTGAATTGTACTTTCCCACATTCTTTGTATTTATAGTGCTGCATCTCTATGGAACCTCTGCCCTCTTAATCCAGGCCTCTTTCTATCGTGACACTTTTTATTTGCTCTTGCAGAACTTCAGAGTATTTTGCTTTAGCATTAAGATCTTTGTTTCAAACCAGTACTCCTGGACTGCACGGGTACCTGACACAACTTCTGATGCGTCTATCCAGGCTCTGCTCCTGGCTGCAGTTGGGTGATTAGTTTTGATTTGAAAGAGAGAAGCCCACAGACACAAGATTCCCATAGTTTTCCAGCATCACATCGCTGTACAGGTCCTGTTAAGTAGCATTACGGTATCTCTGTTCAACCTGGGTACAGGCCACAGCCACATCCCCCAGATGTCAGTGATCCCCGGATCTGGGCCATCTGTCTCCTGAACTGTCTCTCGAATAAGAGCAGAGAACTCTGTGTACACTAATAGTTCTAGAGGCTAGAAATCCAAAATCAAGGTGTTAGAAGGGTTGATGTCTTTGGAGACTGTGGGCAGAATTCCTTCCTTGCCTCCCCGTAGCTTCTGGTGGTTGCCGTCAGTCCTTGGCTTTCCTTGGCTTGCAGCTGTATTACTCCAATCTCTGCCTCTGTCATCACATGTCATTTTCTCCATGTCTCTCTAAATCATTGATTTTATAGACTTTTGTTTTCTGAAATAAGCATTTAAAATTATGAATGTCCCTCTAGACACTGCTTTAACTGCATCCCACAAATTCTTATATATTGTGTTATTTTCGTTCAGTTCAAAATATTTTCTAATTTCTCTCATGGAGTTTCAACCTATACCTTAGTAAATCAGTATTCAACCAAAACTGAAGGTGACTACCATTCAGATTTCTGGAGCTCTTTATCTGTGTAGCTTCCTCCTTTCTGGTACCTTGTTGAAACATTCTAGCTACACAGTCACCCTGAACTCTGCCTCCTCAATTCAGCAACTGCCCTGTTGTGCTTGGCTTCTCCTCACCTGTGCCACAGTCTGGAGCATGCCTCCAGCAGAAAGCCAAGGGATTCACAGAGCTCATCTGGTTTGTTTCCTTTCTCTCAGGGATCACAGTCCTGCACTGCCTGTTGTCCATTGTCTAAACACAGCTGTTTTACATATTTTGTCTAGTTTTCCTATTGCTCACGACGGGAAGGCAAGCCCCATGGCAATTCCTTCTTCAAGAGCAGAAGTGGAAATCACATTGCATTTAAAAAATTAAATAATGGCTGAGTGCGGTGGCTCACACTTGTAATCCCAGCACTTTGGGAGGCTGAGGCAGGCAGATCACAAGGTCAGGAGTTTGAGACCAGCCTGGCCAATATAGTGAAACCCCATCTCTACTAAAATTACAAAAATTAGCTGGCTGTGGTGGCACGCACCTATAGTCCCAGCTACCCTGGAGGCTGAGGCAGAAGAATTGCTTGAACCCGGTAGGCAGAGGTTGCAGTGAGCTGAAATTGAGCCACTGCACTCCAGCCTGGGCAACAGAGTGATATGCTGTCTCAAAAAAAAAATTATATACATATATATATATATAAGCTTACAGAAAAGTACAAATAATTTTCATCTGTGTTGACCTCTTAAGTATGAGAAAATTGACAAATGAGGGAAAGTTGATACAAAGGTAGAAATAGTAGTTACTAATATAACCATTTGTTTTCAACCAACTCTGTTCACTCAGTTAACTGTTACCAAGATTCTTAACTATTGGTGACTATGTGGAAAGGTAAATAAAAATGAGGGAGTATTTTCATCTTTTTTTAAGGCAGTTCTGTTTTCTCTGGCCTTGTAAATTGCCTGGTCTGGTATTAGGTTGGTACCAGTGCTGACTTCCATAGTGCTCCTGACTCAGTAGTCTAGAAGCTTGCCTTTGTCTTCCTTTTATCTTCCAGTTGATTAGTGTCCACATTTAATAAGTATTCCATGGGAGTCAGATTGGCTTTGGCTGATTGTCAGTTGCTTTTATTAGAGCCCTTTTCAGTTGTGTGTACATGCAGACATGATTATCCATATATGCAGTGTTTTGATTCTATTACATATTTTTTCTATGTAATTCTAACATATATTTCATGTTGTAACCCCAGGGCCAGGTCTAGGGTAAGGAGAGAGGTGCCCAGAGCACAGAATTTAAAGAGACAGTCACTTTGAAGGTCCTGTGAGGCAACCCTGCACTGGAATGACTCTGAAAGTGAGCACCTCCTTAAATTTTATACCGGAGGCACTCTCTTGCCTCATCCTGGTTCTGTTTCTATATAGCTGGTATTAGAGACGTATATAACCAGTAACTTAAAATGAACTCACATAATCACTTTCATTTAGAATAAGTTTTTGTTTCATCTATGAAAACAGAGGTGAGATACCATTTCAGAAGAATCAATGCCATGCCTGAAATAATTAAATGAAATAAGTCCAAAGTTTATCCATAAGCAACATTAGCCAGAATTTTGGACCAATTATCTAGGTTACCCACAGCGTGTCACTATTGTATTTATGTTCTATTATTTCTTACCATGACATGACTTGTTATTAGGAAGTTCTTTCTAGCAGAATTGCTCTCACGATTAAAATTTTTAGTAATCTTTACTCCTACTCTGGCTGATACTATGATATGCAAAGCCATTTGACTTTGGCAAATAATTTGTTTGAAAAAAATGTATGTGGCTATAACCTGCATGAGGTCAAGAGTACTCAGTCTGTGTTACTGCCAGTTTGCTGGGGAAAATATTCCAGCGTGTTCAGCTACCTGTTCTTCTGGTCCCACATTTCTCACATTGTCCCTGAGAAATGCCTTGGAGGTGAGTGGGAAGTCGTCAAGTATTGGGACTCTGCCTTCTTCCTCCCCACTTGCCACTTCCCTGCATATACTTCTACCAGAATACTTCTTTTCGTTTTTGTTTTGCTTTTTCCTGTTTATGAACTGGAATTCTGTGTAAAAGATCTCCATGGCAGGAACTCATTGAGAAGGAGAACCATTAATGAATGTGGAGCAGTATTTCTAGAACCTAAAATATCCTAAGACAAAAAACACTCTCTTTCACATCCTTTGTTCCACTCACTGGATGGCTTTCTCACCCTCTTAAAAACTTGTCTTCAAAATAGCCTCAAATGTTGGTGCTCAGGGCTCTTTATGGAGCAGTAGTTTCTGTTTTTATTTCATCTGAAAATTGTTTTCATTCTTTGTTTTTAGATGCCAGTGAGAGCAGGTGCCAGCAGGGGAAGACACAATTTGGAGTTGGCCTGAGATCTGGGGGAGAAAATCACCTCTGGCTTCTTGAAGGAACCCCCTCTCTCCAGTCATGTTGGGCTGCCTGCTGCCAGGACTCTGCCTGCCATGCCTTTTGGTGGCTAGAAGGGATGTGCATTCAGGCAGACTGCAGCAGGCCCCAGAGCTGCCGGGCTTTTAGGACACACTCTTCCAATTCCATACTGGCGTTTTTAAAAAAATTCCAAACTGCAGATGATTTGGGCTTTCTACCTGAAGATGATGTACCGCATCTTCTGGGGCTAGGTTGGAACTGGGCATCTTGGAGGCAGAGCCCACCCAGAACTGCACTCAGACCTGCTGTATCTTCCAGTGACCAGCAGAGCTTAATCAGGAAGCTTCGGAAGAGAGGTAGTCCCAGTGAAGTAGTTACACCTGTAGTGACACAGCATTCTAAAGTGAATGACTCCAGTGAACTAGGTGGTCTGACTACCAGTGGCTCTGCAGAGGTAAGCATGCTATGAATAAGAAGCAGAGAAATCGTTAAATCTGCTCTTACATTTGGCATACATGAGCAATGAACCTGATGCTTGTGGGTAGTGCTCATAGGCTGAGGAGTATATATATAATGCTGCTTGGTATCAGCCAAGTTGGTGTTGCCCAGATGTACAAAGGGTAATTTGACCCTAGAGATGTTCATTCTATGTAGGTCTGACCATTGTTTTGGTAAAAGCAGAAAGCTGCTTATTATCTGGTCTAAGCTGGTTCTTGAGTACAGGTAAGTGCAGTTGTGTGGCTGTTAGTATCCACCAACCATTCTGCAGTGTTTTCTGCCAGATTGCAAGACAGTTGATTGATGTGGTTGCAGTCAAGTTCTCCTCCATCTCTCACCTGTGAACACATTCTTTATGAGGTAGTTTCTATTCTAGTCTGAATTAACCATGCTTGGTACCACAGATTAAGATCTGACCTGCTGAGCTGTGGAGCGGGATGTAGCCATTAGCCAAGAGGTCTCTGGAGTGAATTCTTACCAGGCTGTATATGCCAAGGCAGATACCACCAGTAGAGTTTATTTTGCTTATTATGTTTCTTCATTGTTAATCTCCTTGGGAAAATGATTAAATGGAATGACTCACTCTCTGCTCAGTCTCTCTTGATTGCTGTGACTTATTTTTGTATTTGTTTTGTCCTAGTTGTCTCTATCAAGTTGAAGCCAGAGTGGGCTACTACATCCCAGGCACTGTGTGTACTAATTGTTGCACTGTGTCATTTTGTTTAATTTTCATAGCAGTATTTCCAAGTAGGTATTATTAGCCCTGTTTTACCTACTGAGAAAACTGAGGCCCAGAGAGGTTAAACAGTTTGCCAATTATCATGCAGAACAGCTAGAATTGGAACCCAGATTTAATTTTAAGAAACAACTTTTTAGTGCAATATTAGAGAACAATGCTTGATTTAATATGCCTGTAAACATTTATGGATATCTACTTGTCAATGTCAGGTACTTTTCTAAGCCTTAGTGATACAAAGGTGAATAAGAATAGTTCATGCCCTCAGGGAGTTTATAATCTAGTGAAGACTGACACATGAAGCTAGGTATTTACAGTGGTGTATAATTATTGCATTAACATACTTATGTATACAATACAGTAAGAACACAAAGAAGAAGTGATTCACTTGAACAGGCAAGTGGTGTGGATGTGCAGGTAAGACTTCTCAGAGATGTTTAACATTTCTTGAAGGATGTGTAGGATTTTACTAGGGGGTGTTAATGGTGGTAAAAAACCATTCTGGACAGAGCTACAGCGTATGCAAAGGCTCAGTCATAGTCATTATGCATTTACTATGTGCAAGGTACTATATACTAAGCTGGGTACTGGGAATATTACAGTAAATAAGATGATTATGATTTCTGCCCTAACAAGCCTTATACCCTGGCAAGGATTATTATATTTCTAATAATTAAATAATTATAATAATGATAAGCTTGACATGGGTTACGAGTGGGTAAATATAGAGTTCTGTTCCAACAGGAACCTGACAGAAACTAAGATGTCAGATTAGGCCATTTTAAATAAAGTTAGTTTAAGCTGAGATTTAAAGTAGGAATTAGGAAAAGAAACAGGGAAGAAGAGTATTTCAGACAGAGGAAATAACAATTTCAAAGTGGGTTACGTGCCATACAGCATGGCATGCTCAAGAAATTGAGAGAGACTGACCTTGCTGGGCAGATGGAGAAGGAGAGCTGGTGG